TTTATCCGCTAGGATAAACATTGAGTTGGAGCCCAAAAGGTTAAAAAACTTGTATTTGTCGGCAAAGATGATTTCACTTTTCAGAATAAGCAAGTTATTGTTATTATTAATGAGTAAATGTCTCCAATAAAAAGAATTTGAATTTCTTTAAACATCGTCTTAAACTTTGAATATTGTGGATAAAAAGTTCTAGTGAGATATAAAACAATCTATATTTAAGGTCAAATAATGCTCAAAAACACTTTTACTCCTTTAACCTGATACAAGTCTTTATTGTAATACTACCTTCGGTCCTTAATATAAGACTTTGTTTGATTTTTATTTTGGTCTTAAATATAAGACCCCAATCCATTTTGTCTCTCATATTTATACATTTTTTTCCAAGGTAATTCTTCTAACAATGATAATTCTAGCCAACACACTTAATTAATAATGATATTTTAGGAAAGACAATACCTATTTATTACAAATAACTAACTTAACTTCTTTTCTTAATCTCCTCAAATTAGTCAACTAGCTTTTGTAATTAGTATCAGAGGTAGTAACTTAATTTTACATACAGTGTTTTTGGTCTTTTAACTTTAACATTATTTACAAAAAAATATTGGCATTAAAATTTTAAATATTAATAATAAAACCTTCTCAGGTGTTGACATGTTAAATTTAATTTTAAAATAACAATAACTGTTACAAAAAAAATCATTTAATAGTAACTCTGTGTGTTAGAGTCGAAGAACCGAAAAAATATTTTAAAAAAAAATTAAAGAATCGAATTAAAACATATGTAAAGTTACTTTTGATATTATTTCGAATATAAGATAATTAATAATATTGGCATTGGATATTTGTTGAAAAAAATAGTATAACTTTCATTGAACCTCCAAGTTTTTTATTGGGTGTACAATAATCTAAATATAGAAATGGAGGTTTTCACATTTCATACGCACTCATCGATCCTAAAACTTTTTTGGCTTTTTCAACCTTGAAAACTTATCTTCATTTTGTGTCTGACTGTCCATTCTCATTCATTGCAGGAAGCATCTTTGCAATAGAAAGTAAATAGTTTGTAATTACAGAAATCATGAAAGAGATGTTTAATCATAATTAATACATATCCTTTTTCATAAATAATATTTTCATTAATTTTAAGCTAATAACATCATAAAGTATCTTTTTTGTGGGGGAAGGAAAGAAAGAGAAGCAATAATTTAGCTTGCACCGGGAAAAAACAAATCAAATCAGTGAATAATAATAATAATAATATGGGATCAAATCCAAATTGAAGTTGAACATTCTAGATTTCTAGTGGAGTTAGATAATTGTCACGCATAAAAAATCATATTATTTCTGGTTCTTAATATATAAAATCCAATTGATTAATTTGGAGAGATCAATAAAAGTATTCAATTATATATATTTATCGTTTTTCTCCAAACTAATTTGTCTCATATAAACTGACATATAATCTAATGATACACATAAATATTTTAGAGAGATCATATAACATATGTTATAATTAAGTAATTTAATATTTTTTTTGAATAGAAATTTAGTAACTTTCTTAATCTTTTCAAATTAGGTAACTGAATATTATATTGAGGACATTAGATAGTATAATCATTTCAATTTCAAAAACATTCCATTTAATGAAAATCGACGCCCTCAAATTTTATTTTATTTTCCATGTCAATGTATTATTTAAATGCACCATGTGGATCTTTATCTTTTTATTTCCTTTTTGGTTAAGTTGATATCATTACTTTCGACAAAAAATAAAACAATGCAGGGCGGGGGCCTTATAATATAAAATAAAATTAAAACACATTCTTTCTAAACAAATAATTAATTAGCAAAAGGCACTACTGGCCAATAGCATATTGATTATTTAATAAAGAAATTATTCTTGATAATATATATGATATGATATGAAGTTTTAAAAAAGAACCTTTAATGGGTACCTAACCCAGCTTTTAAGAGACGTAAAAGATTAATATTATATTAGTATTTACTCTAGCAAATCATATTACATATAATCCATAATCCTGGTTTTCTTACTGTGATTGCTTATAATTATTTAATATTAACCAATAGGGAAATTGACCAAAAAAAATACTTGTTAAATTTCAAATTGATAAATATATAGGTCATGCTAACTATTCTTAAAATGGTTTTAACTATTCTTGTAATGGTTTTGACATGTTTATATTAAAATTATCTATTTGTCATTTTAAAATTGAACAAGTATTTGTTTTGATTAATTGTATCATATTTTATGACAAGACAAGTATCTCGAACCATATGTGAAGCCTTAAATGACGTATAATTTCTGCTTTAAAAAAGTGCGAGAGTCTTAGAAATCCATATATAATTTCTGGAGAAAATTAATATGTAGATTCATATAATTTCACTTGATTTTTCAATTAGATTTCATTTTTCTTTTTATAATATCCTTATAATTTCAGCTGATTTTAATTAGATTCTTATAATTTTACCTGATTTTTAATCAACTCCTTACATAATTAAAAATAAAATAAAACTATAGGGACATGTCCTAGTTTCTAATTCCATTTACCTTTGTATTATTAGCATCACCTTAAAAGTTTGAGCTAATAATTGGCTAATGTTACATATAATTGAAATCATATTAATTATTTAAACTTGATGTATTCATCATCATTTTATACTTTACTCCAAATCTTATTATCACTCGTATACGAGCTCCTTTCCTCGAATAATTCTTTAGCCTAGTAAAAGGAAAAATAATACTTGCAAGAAAATTAAAGCATATATTATATGCACTATAAAGAGGCATTTATTTTTCATAAAAGGAAAAAAAAGAATACGCACGTTGTTTTTTGGTCACTCTTTTTGAAGTTTCGTTGAAGTGATTCAAATCATAAATAAAAATCTTTGTTATTTCTATAATGAATTGAGATTAGGTATCTCCATTGTATTCCTGCATTATTTATTTCTATGAAATTCAGAATAATTTATATGGAACTTTTAAACACTACTATGATATATAGTCTAAACATTTTATGTTTCATATTGATATTGATGAAATATTCTATTAATAAATTAGCAAATTAAACTTTAATTTGAGTTTAATAGGGACATACACATACTTTGACGAAAGAGAGAGAGAGAGACGTACACATCCAATAAGGAGTACTAAGGGCTGAGAAAAGTTCATTAAGAATTTGACAACACTAATCAATATCAATAAAAAACCATGAATTAATAAAATTATAATTAACTAAAATATAGTGATTGAATTATATCAAGTCAAAATTTTTAAAACAACTATAATTATTAGGAAAAATTATCATTTAATATGATTTTAGAGTTAAAATATTAAAACTATATTACTTCTGGTTTTAAATATAAAAACTAACTTATAGTGTTAGCTGGCTCTTATATTTAGAACCGCATGTAGTATTTTTTAAATCAAGACACCAAATAAAATTTTATTTAAAATTAAAGACTGAATGTGTACTTTAACTATGATTGAACTATATGAAGTCAAAATTCTTAGAGATTAAATTTTAATTGAGACAAATTTATAAATATCAAATGATTAAATTTTTTTTGGTATTTTATAATAAATTATATTGTTATAAGCCTTGAACTAGAACTATTAATATGTGTTGGACCTGTGGATGCAACCCAACCAATCCATAAAAAAATGATTGTTTATGGTTGGCTAAAAGTTAAACTGTCAGCAAACAAACTTTTTAACCTACTGCTTAGCTTAACTCACATTTATTTTTTATTTTATTAATTATTATAATAATATAATTATATTTTATATCCTATCTAAAAAAATTATATTATTTATTTGGTATTTTGATTAAGTATTTGAAGAAAAGATAAAAATTTCATTATACAAAAAAACATATTTAAAAAGTAAAAATAATAGTTGACGGGTTGATTATAACAGATTAGGATTAGCTAAAAGCTAACCTGAAGTCTTTTCAACTCTTATCATCTCATTCTAACTTGCCACGCGTCAACCCTCCGATCGTGTTTTTATATTTTGTTTTTGGTTTCAAAAATATGTTGACGCATACTCCTCTGGTCCTATTTATAAGGCACTTCCAACATGTTTCACACAGACCAAGAAAAATCTTAAACTGCATTAACTCTTCATTAAAATATAGCAACTTTTCAACTTTACCCCTATTTAATATATACCCCTTTCAAAAAGATAACTACTTACACTATAATAAATGAAGGACAAAATAGTACATTTACACTGAAAATTTAATGAAGTGACTTATAAATAGGACAAAAAAAAACCTTCTCTCTACCCTATAAATAGGACCAGAGGAGTACCTACGAATACGATGTTGATTTTCCCTAAAAGGAAGCCGTTAGGGAATCAGGCTCATTATGTTGTAGTACAATTTAATTTAATTATATATTATACGGCTGCCGACGTAGGACCCAGAGACCGTTTTCATTTCGTAAATAAATACAGCAATCCATAAATAATTAGACGATCAGTCATATTTTCTCCCACCTTTTGCACAATTCTCTCCTCTCTCCCGTGTTTCTTCTTCCTGCTTTCCTGGGAATCTCTTGGCTTTTTCTTTACCCTGCGCTAAGAACCTCTGAAGAAGGAGGTTTCTGTTGCACCGCTTCCAATCCCAGCTTCTTCCTTCTCTGGGGTTTCATCCGATGAAACCCCAATTTCGAAGTTTCCAACTTTGAATCGTCTAAGTCCGATCTTTGATCTGGGTTTTGTGTGAGGAAGTGGTTGAGAGAGGAAAACGTGGTTGTTGGCGTTAGTGTGATTTTAAATCCAAGGGATTTCAAGAGATAGTGCGAGGGGGATTTTTGGCTCGAGATTTGCAGCACTGGGTGAGGAGAATTAGATGATGGTGGCTCTACTGTGAAGGCTATGCTCGCTTTTTGTTTTATATTTCAGAAAGCGGAAAGACAATACGAGGTAAAGGAAGATTAGGGAGGAAAAGAACAGGAAAATTACGAAGAACAAAATGCAGCCATATCAGCTCAAGAAGGTCCTCTCTTTCGCTCTCCGATTCACGTTTCTCTCTCTCTCTATCTCTGCACTAAACTCATTACTGTGGTACAATCTGATTGATGGAAATGATCATGTAAATGAAAATTTGGCTGACATGTTGTGGAGAGCAAAAACAATTCGAAAAAAGATCAAACATGAAGGATGACAATTGTAATTATGCGGTTTCATGCGGATTGTGTGATTGGATATTGGGGAGAAGTCTTCTGCTTCCCACTTTTCATTAGCGGTTTACTTTCCAAGTGTTTGTGATGAGCATGACAATGGCATTAGCTCCAGCCAAAAAAATTCCTTAGTACCGTTACCTTCTTCCACAAGCTACTTGACTTTGATATTTTCTCTGTCTGATTTTTTTTCTTTTGGCCTGCTTCAACAATCATTACTTCTGGTGATTTTAGTGTTTCTGTATTTGGTTCTAGGTGTCTTTGCTAGTTGATTCTAGTGTTTTCTTGTTAACTGATGGTGATTTTTTTAAAGATAAAAGTCTTCATAGATTTATTAATGCGCAGGATATTAAAGAATTGGGTTTCTTCACTGAGTATGGGGATGCCAATAGATACAAGCTTCTTGAAGTTATAGGGAAGGGCAGCTATGGAGTTGTTTGTGCGGCGATTGACACACACACTGGAGAAAAAGTAGCAATAAAGAAGATCCACGATGTTTTTGACCATGCATCTGATGCCATTAGAATTCTTCGTGAAGTTAAATTACTCAGGCTTTTAAGGCACCCTGATATCGTAGAAATTAAGCGGATAATGATGCCACCTTCAAAGAGAGATTTCAAAGATATTTATGTAGTCTTTGAGCTCATGGAATCTGATCTCCATCAAGTCATTAAAGCTAATGATGATTTGACCCGTGAACATCATCAGTTTTTTCTTTATCAGCTCCTACGTGCATTGAAATATATGCACACAGGTATCTTTTTCTTTACCATGTCTCCTTATTTTTTTCAAATGAGTACTTCTTAACTTTCGTATATTTTAATAAGATGTGCGGGCAATAATTTGAAATGAAGTGCTACTTACTGAGCTTACGTTGTATTGTAGCAAATGTGTATCACAGAGACCTCAAACCCAAGAACATACTGGCAAATGCAAATTGCAAACTCAAAATTTGTGATTTTGGACTGGCAAGAGTTGCATTCAACGATGCTCCTACAACAATATTTTGGACAGTATGTATTTTGATTTAGTTTGAACTGCAAATATACCATGTTGAAGTTATAAATGTTCTATTTATATTTAATGAGGTGCATTGAATTTTATCATGGTTTTCTTTTGGAAATATTGCAGGATTATGTTGCTACTAGGTGGTACAGGGCCCCAGAACTCTGTGGAGCATTCTCTTCTAAGGTATAGTTTGGCAAGAATTTATCAGTTGAGCATTCTATTCTGTTACGCTGCATTCTTCCGGTCCTAAATATGAGACCCTGTATATAAGGGTTTCATATTTAGGACCGGAGGAGTAAGATTATAGTTTGTGGCAACCTGTTAGCTAGAAGGCCATTTGTGCTTATTTTACGAACGATTGAATCTATCATTACATTTTCCACCAAGCCAGTTATTCTCATGTCCTTCAGGTTCTTAGATTTAAAACACTTATGGATTTGACCTATATTTGGTAATAATGACTGCTTTGCTGTTTTTATTGTCTATATTCTGTTTATTAATTGAAAGATCATGAGAAATGTAACCCATATAAAGTTATACATTTCTAGTATTCCCTTGATTTTGTTTTAACTGATTTCTTACTATCCTTTTGCGGTTTCTATACTTCCCTAGTGCCATGTGCCAATAGACATCTTTTGACTGCAAACTGAAGATCATTCATAATGTAGCTTCTCCGGTCCTAGTTATGTTTAGCTATTTTACTTGTAGGTAGATAAAGATTATATGCGTGTGTACACGTTAGCAGCTTATGTTATTTACTAGTTTGCTCATGCTATGAACAATCGTTATGGTATTTACTTGCAACATATCATGAGCAATTAGTAAAATTAATATTCAAGGAGGTGTTTCTGTAACTTTAGTTGGAAGGAGGAAATGCTGGTCAAGGCATTCACTAGAATCTTACCTGAAAAGTTTTCTGGTACCTGACCTGTATTCTTGCATTTGAAGGAAATTAAAATTCAGAAAGAAATCTCTGAATGATAGGAATCCATAAGTTGACATCTTTTTCAGAATTTAGCTGATTCTTTCTATTAGGTCGATACTGCTGAGTACAGAAAGTTTGACAAAGTGCATGCGTATTTTCCAAGCTTGACTAATGCAGGATGTTGTACATGTTTCCGTATGAAATTCCTTCTGAGTGCTTATAGTAATGCCTAGGTTATCAATATTCTTGTTCAGGGAGGATAATTGAACTTTCCTGGAAGTTAAATTATATGTCCTTCAGGTACTTGTGTCATGTTATGCCTGTTTATCTGGGTTGCTTCGTTGATGTATGAATTTGTCCTTTAGTAGACTGATTTTGTTGACATAATGTGTGTAGTATACACCGGCAATTGATATATGGGGTATTGGTTGCATCTTTGCTGAGGTCCTCACCGGAAAGCCATTGTTTCCTGGTAAAAGTGTTGTACATCAATTGGATTTGATTACTGATCTCCTTGGGACCCCATCAGCAGATACTATTTCAGGAGTATGGATCTTTCCTTTTATTTCTTTCTTTTTGTCTTACTTTGTGTTGTGATAAACTTTTGTGTTATTTTCCATATCTATTTGATGGTTATTGTATGTTTGATCACATTTTCATATATCAGGTTCGAAATGAGAAGGCAAGAAAATACTTGATGGAAATGAGGAAAAAACGGCCTGTGCCTTTTGAGCAGAAATTTCCAAATGCAGATTCTTTGGCGCTGCGCCTTTTGCGAAGGCTTCTAGCATTTGATCCCAAAGATAGGCCAACTGCTGAAGAGGTATCTATTTTTCTACTATTTCATGTTACCTTTGTTCTTTCCAGTATGGATCTTGTAATGGAAAAGAATGTTTGTTTGATTTAATTTTGAAAACAAAGACATTTTTGCTTGTGTGTTTGGCAGGCACTAGCTGATCCTTATTTCAAGGGCTTGTCCAAAGTTGAGAGAGAACCTTCTTGTCAGTCAATTTCAAAGTTGGAATTTGAGTTTGAGAGGCGAAGGTTGACAAAGGAGGATATTAGAGAATTAATATATCGTGAAATACTGGAATATCACCCTCAGATGCTTAAAGATTACATAAATGGAACTGAAGGCAATTTTCTCTATCCTAGGTCTGAAATATGATTTATTGCGGATTATACATGATGTCTATTACCTAGTTTTATGAATATAATATTGATGTTTATATGTGATAGATATAATTTATTGGTACATATTCCTTGCAGTGCAATAGGCCAATTCAGAAAGCAATTTGCTTATCTGGAGGAAAATGGTGGCTCAGTGACTCCTCCAGAAAGGAAGCATGCCTCCCTTCCGAGGTAAGATTAATCTGCACTTATCATGGCTAATGACTTCCTCTTAACTGTATCTTTTCTTCTCGGTTCTATATATTGTGTCTTGAGTGTAGTTGCCAGTCTAGTTGTGGGGAATGCTTAGGACTTGTTGGGTTCTGATTAAAGTTTCTTCCATGTCATGAGGGTTAAAGAGATTGTGGGTTGATGGTTTACTGTATGGTGGAGGTAAGGTCAAGGGAAGATCTATTTGCATAGCTATACTGTTGTTTGGGCCTTTGGGGCTTGTGTACAGTACTTGCAAAATAAGGATTCTTGGGTTTGATGGATTCTAGGGCAGGTCTGTCGACGATCATCTAAGCATCAAACAGTCAAGAAGACAGCCAATAGTCAAAACTTTCACATCATTTGGTTCATTATGTAGTGCGCAACAACCTAACCAGCCTGATGTAACACACCCGCACTGCAGACACAGCAGGAAAGAGGCAGAAATATAGAACAGAGAGAGAAAGGAAGGTGGATTTCTTAACGGAGATGGTGAGCAAGAGGAGGGACAGAACGTAGGAGGGGCTTAGGCAGAGAAATGAACGGAGAGATATGACTAGAAGGAGGGAGAATATGAAGAAACTGGAGGGGCATGAGAAGGAAGGGAGAAGTGAGAAAAGTAAGGGTGCGGGTTTTTTTTTTTTTGGGGGGGGGGGTGGGGGGGGAGGGGTGTAGCTAAACCATATCAAAATTGATTTTCATTATCATCCTAGTCTCGTTCCACGTGCTGCATTGTCGCTATTTATAGAAGCCACTGTAAGGTTTACTTCTTATGAAGCAAACATCCCACTTGCAGCTCATTTGATACAATCATTAAACAACCCACTTGCCAAATAAAGTAAAATCAGAAAGTAATCAAATATAAAAGTGAGATAGATTTTCTTCTATAGGAGGTTTCTTCAAAATGTAAGAGTAAGGCGTATCAATTCTTTTATTCCATCACAGCTGCTTATTCTCATAAAAGCAGCCCAAAGTCCCTAACTTCGTGTTTGTTCTATGGCTCATTTTATATGAAACCTCAAAGTGGCTCTATTTTATCATAATCCACCATATACTAATTCCATTCATTTAATGTCCCTTTCTTTGGTGTCGTTGAGATTGGAATTTCTAGTCTATCTGTTTCTATTTCTATATACATGAAGATTTTTGAAATCATCATATAATAATCCAGAAACTGTGATAGAAAAGAAAAAGGGAGTTTTGTGATGATTTTGAAAGTGTTTACTTCATTAGTAATTTTGGATTTAAAGTAACATATGGGCCAGTTTTTTTTTTTGGGCCCCCCCAAAGAAGTGATTTTAGTTGGGGGGAGATTGGAGAGTATGGGGAAGGAAAACCTTGAGGAAATAACCCCCTTTTTTTATTTTAAATAAACTGGCCCTTAAATTGCATTTTCACTTAATAAATTCTAAATTGTGAAGTTATGAGGTATTTCAATCAGGTCCAATTTTAAAGCCTTGTTAAACTAGCAAAACTCTTTAAGCTTTCTGTCTTCTTTTTTTTTTTTGGCTGCTTCCTGCACCAGAATTCTTTCTTAATTGAATGTTTTTCTGATCCGTATACCATCCATATGATTAATAAATTTGCTTTTTATCCCTTTCGAAGGCCTGCTATTTACTCGGCTACGGTCCCTCTTAATACAAAGCCAAATTTCAATTTGTACGAGAACAAACAAAATGCAGAAGAGGCATATAAGAGTTTAAGAGAAGCTGAATCAAATGCTGGAAGTCAATGGAGGGGTTCCCGGCCTCCGCCAAGAGCGCCAGCAGGTATAACCTGTAGTTAATGTGTTGATTGCTTATTTTCTTCCTTAATATTTAGATGAAATGAGAAATCTATCCGGCGAAGTAAGAAAAGTATACACATACGAGAACAACAAATTATCCTAACTTCCGAGCGAACTGGGACTCCATAGAAGGAAGCCGAGGGTTGAGAATAACAAAGATGCCATGAAAATAACCATCCCGTTGGGTTAAAATTTGTCATCACACTCCAGCCTTGAGCACCTGTGTGCCTAATACCTGGTCCCTCCGAAACTCTGATGTACGAATATAAATGAACAGAAATTCGATCATTAATTAATAAAGCATTTGTCTTGACGCGCATGTGCGTGTAATTCTTATAAAAATATCAATTTCACACACATATTCAAGCATAATAAATACGTCCGCAATTTTTAGCTTGATTTGAGTGGGGGCGTTGGGAACATATGCTGGTCTTTTTATGGAAGAAGCCACGGTTTTCTTCTTCTAATTCTCTCCTTGAGGCCAAGGTGAAGCTTAGAGGGCTGGGAAATGATGGGGCCATAGCTAATGGATCCATCATATTCAAAATGAACTAGTTAGTGACATTCTATATTCTTTAATAAGCTCTTTCTATTGTTTGCAGAAAAGAAAGAAAAAAAAAAAGTGTGCTGGTTCTATTGTTTATTGGCTTGTCTATCTACATTATTAACTGCTTTTATCAACGCTTCCCACAGCTAAGCCCGGGAGAGTGGTAGGCCCAGTTGTACCTTACGAAAACGGGAGAATCGCAAATACTTTTTATGATTCAAGGATCTTTTATCAAAATGCTCTTCCCCAAGTGGCTGGTTCTCCTCACTGCTTTTTCAGACCTCAACCGACAAACTCACAGAAGACTGTATCAGAGATACACCAGGTTTTTTCACAATGCAAGCATCAAGTCCCATTCCAGCAGTGTCACCACCTAGCCAGACCTGCAATTGACCTCAACTCGAACCCATACCAACAACAAACCACCATTGACCGGTTTGATAATCCCATGATTACAGTTGATACGAAGCTGCAGCAGGCACAATCTCACTTTGGTGCAGTTGGCGCTGCAGATGTGGCCATCGCAGCTCATAGACATTCTGGTGCTGTTCAGTATGGATTGTCATAGGTTAAGGAGTTTTGTGAAAGGTGCTATGCTTTTCATGTCAGGAGTTGGATGGTAGGAGGTTGATTAAATCATTAAACAGGTTTAGGTTTTTTTCTTCATTTTCCTTTTTCCCCTTTTCGGTTCTTGAGGTTGCAGTTCTTGTATAAATATACATGTACATTTAATTGATTAATGAGAAATCAATTGTTCCTCTCAATCTTGACTTGATGATCTTCTATTGTCTTGAGGACACCAACATGCACAGATAGATAGACGCACATGCGCATGCGTACACTTACATATGATTGTACACACATATACATGGAAGATGGAACATATCAGCTCAATTTTATGGGCAGAAATTGTCATTGATATCTGTTCATCTGCAACTATAACACATCTGAATATTCATAGGCAAAGCCTATTCTTTTGTTTTTAGAAGCCTAGGCGTCAAGCCTGACGGAAGATTAATTTAAAATCACAAATGGAGAAACTGTGAGAAGTCCGTTGATAATATATTCACTCGGTTTTTTCTTCATTTCCATTGCATTGTTGGATCCTCATGGCCTCTAGATAGGATTTTCCCTGGAGTTCACGACTAAATAGGCCTCTGAAGTATTCATCTACTCCTATTCTTTTGAACTTTGGTGGAGTATGGTCAGTGACCAAGCTTGGTGAAGGACCTATCTCTGCATCATATCTTGGACTATAAAATGTAGCAATGGAAAGTCTCTCTCTCTCAGAGTTTACCATTGCTCGGTGCTCAATACTTCGGTATGTCCCATTGGTTATGATCTGCCATATAAAATATGCAGAAAAAGAAAAGAACTTATGTGGGTATGAGACTCATTGAAAAATTTGGCAAAAATGATGCATATGCCTCTTTAATTCAGTAATAAACTCTTCAATTTGGAGATCGAAAGATTGATTTTCACTCTCTCTTTTTCTAGTGCAATTTAATCCTAGTTATAAATGACTTTTGTAACATGGATTCAGCCTGTGAATGCACTTTAGGTAAAATGGAGGGATAGAGAGGGAGTGGTAGGTCCCATTTTTGAAGTTGTGGGTCCCACTCCCTGTTTATCCTTCTGCACATTATCTATTTTCTGTGTTATACCTCTAGTATGTCTCCAATGTTGAGAACGAATGCATTAGGGAGAGGCCTAACAGGTACCCACATGCCATCTTTTCTAATCTGAAGGCCTTCTACTTCATTGAGCTGCAGAAGAATGGTGAGACCTACAGCATCAGAATGGGGTGTGAGACCAATGACTTTGTGAGGCTGAGGACATGGTGGATAATAGTTCATCCTCATTGATTGCATTCCTTCTTTAAATAACTCTCTCATTTCCATGCTTTCCATCTTCAGGGCTTTTTCCATTTGTTCCATAATAGCCACTGCTAGATTTTTCATCTCAGCTGAGTATAGTTCTAGAGTTTCTCTGTATTCAAAACTTGATTCAGCATTAAATCAAGTAGCTGATAAGGAATATATGTAGATTATCTATTGGGCATGCAAAATATTTATGAGAAGGAAATGAGATCAGAAATGGCTTTTATGTCCTATGCATTTGCACAAAGCTTGAAATGAGCCAATATTGTTCATAGCTTGTAAATAGTGTGGCTTCCTCCATGTTGACTAGCAAAGAAAAGGAGATAAGGAAAGAAAAATGTGAGGAGAACATAAAATCCCCCGTCAAACCTAAAAACAACTCTTGAGGTAAATCAATTTTTCCTACGAAGAAATATGCATACATCTATCTATAGAGAGAGAGAGAGAGAGAGAGAGAGAGAGAGAGAGAGACCTGAAAGGAAGAGGGAGTTGAGGGAATAGGTGAGGCTTCCTCAAATGGACTGGAAGTGTATTGATGAAGAAAAGGTCACCCCAATCAAGCTTTTGATCTTCACTCACAACAAAGGCTTGTCCAAATCCCTCCACATCATCTTCTCTCTGCCAAAACTTGTTCTTCTCTGACATTCCCAGATTGAAGAATTCATGTGTCTCCTCCTTCATCTTCTCCACCAACCGCGACCCCACTCCATGATTCACCAACTACACCAATTATTTCAGTCGTCAATCAATATTCTGTTCATTTTCAATTCCATCGTTATCTTAAATCAAGCAAATTCATTCATTTAGTCCTTTCTTTCTTTCTTTCTTGTTTATTAATTTAGATTGTAATGCAAGTGAAGTATAACTGACAAAAGATGAGGGTAGAGATAGAGAAAAGAGACCACCTGGAAGAATCCCCAGTTTTTGCAAGCAAGGTGAAGCTTAGCCAATTCTTCAGAGCTGGCTGATTCCTCAGTGATCAATCTCTGCATATCAATCACTGGGATTTCTGGCAAATCATCTGACTCTGAAACAATAATTTCTTGTTGTTGATCAGGACGAATATATCTGTCTGGAATCTCAGTGATCTCCTTCTTTGCTAACTCTTGAACTGACGGAACAATCAGAGAATTCCATTTTGGCTTCGCTGCTTCTTCCATGGCCTTCCCTGACATCTCACCAACCCTTGACCCTTCTTTCTATCAATACTAGATGTTAGCCTTTATATTACACGGACTTTTGAAGGTGCTTTGCACCATGTATAATCTTTGTATTTTTGGCTGAATATTTATAACCTATGTATCTGTATTGCGTTGTCCTCTGTGAGTCTGACTTTTAGCTTCTTGAGGGTCCCGCTGTTCCTATCATCCAATTCCCGTCACTTGCTTTATGGCCGTCCATGGATTGTAGAAACTTGCATTTCAAGAGGCGGGGTTACAATATTTTGTTTCAATAGTATCATGTAATCATCGTGGCTGGTCCAAGAAAATAAGTGGTTGGATTTGTTATTCATTAAGAAAATCGTGTGGGCGTTATGATTTAGATTGATCATAATTATTGATTGATTTGAGAAATAAAATACTCTATCCAGTTTTTAATATAAAACTCATTTTGTAATACAAAATAAAAATTAAACTATAAAGTACCTCTAATATTAACGACCGGATGAATATATTTTTTTAGAAGGCACCTTTTTGTTGCCTTACTTTTTTTTTTTTGAATTAGAGATGCAGCCCTAACAATTTAGGGTTCATTTAAATTGGTAGTGGAAAAAGTATCATATTTTCAATTTGACTTTTAAAAAAAAAAGAGATTAGATAAAAATTAAATTGGGTAATATAATTTATGTTTGGATTGACTTTTATAAAAATTAGTTTGTAGAGTAGAAAAGTTGTTTGGATTATGATTGGATAAGTAAACTTAGTTTGTAAAATGATCAAAATGAGTATAACTTTTGTTAAATAATAAAAAATGATTAAAAATATGAATTTTTAAAATATAATAATTTAATAATAGGAAAAGTTATATTTAATTAATAAAATATATTTAAATTAGAAATCACAATAATATGAAAATTTTTGAACCAAATAATATTACATAAGTAATTGAATGATATACTCTATACAATTTGTGTAAATATAAAATAAAAAATAATATTAAAAATTAAAAATATTAAACAAAAATATTAAAAATAAATAGCTAAAAACTGATTGGGAAACACAAAAAACATATAAAGAAAAGTATAAGAACAACGTAAACATAAGGGTAAAAATGTTTTTTAATTCCAAAAGACTGTTTTTGCATAAGTTATAAATAAGTTTTAGATGCTTTTCTAATTATGCTTAAAAAAAATAACTTTTGACCCATAAGTCACTGTTACAAATAGCTCCTAAATTTACAAACTCACTTATTATACTTATAAACTATTTTTCCCCCGTAAATGCCCCACCAAACAGGCACTTGGTATTATGATAAGATTACGCCGTGACCTATTACCTGCCAGGCTATTTAAATGCCACCAGATTATAAGACTAACCCTGATGGTGTTGCCTAACATTTTTTAAAAGGACTAATGAACCTACTCTTTCGCTAACGCTTACAAATGCTAGAAACATTTTAACTAATTATCTTAAATTTTGGGAGGGGCGATTTTAATTAATTGCCTTTCTTGTATAAGGTTTGCGTGTTGATGATGAAGTTGGCATAAAATATTTCTAGTGTTGTTGGAGATCAAGAAAATGTTTGGAAACACTCAAAAGAGCTTCTTAAAAGCACTTTTCTGCAAAACGAGACAAATTCTTTTACATATTTACTTCGTACACCTCTCAATTCATGAACGTCCCCACATTGTTATGTGGCCATATTATTCATGTTAATTACTTTGAATGAGATATTAGCATCTTTGCATTATTATTATTAGAAAAGGAAGAGAGGAAGCCTAAGTCAAACTCCAATTTTAAATATAAGATCTATTTAATTAATTTATAAAAATTAATAAAATTAGTTAAATTAACAAGGAGACATAAGGATTGAGGCATATTGTGAAATTAATGAAGATAATATACAAAATAAATTTTAATTGAGAGGTAAAGTGGATCAAAGTTTTTTATAATTAGAAACAAATTTTGTTGATAATGTATAAATGAAAATAAAAAATTAAAAAATACAGAAAATGCAAGTAAAATGTAAATCTGGGCAAATTTAAAATATATATCCAGAAAAATTTAAAAACGGGAAATTGAGATTAAAGATCCATTGAAAACATATTGTGGGGAAAAGATCTAAATTGTAGAATATAAAAAAAAAATTGCCGAAACGCAAAAGATAAATACAGATTTTTGTTCAGGTTATTTTCCCTAAATGTCTTTCATTATGTCTATAATCCCATTTTTCCACAAAATTTTTTTCTATATATTAATTATATTTTATACTATATATTAATATTAATTTTAGGGATTATAATTTAAAAAATAATCTTATTGCATTTTAAAAAATTAAAGCGTAATTTTATTAAAAAATTAATTAATATTTATTATTTTATTATAATTTTTACATTTATTGGTTATGTGGGTTATTTAGTGGAGCCTAAGAGACAAAGGCACAACTGATTGGGGCCTCAAAAGGTGTTTAAGAGATTGTGCCAAAAATTTAAACTCAGTCCTCTAACATGGGGCGTGGATGTAGCCTTTAATTTTTATATTTGTTTCAATTGATCCTTCATTTGATATGCATCAAATTTTGCAAATAATATTATAATTAGGAAAAGTAGGAAAAAAAAACCGTCAAAATAAAAAAATTACAAATAAGAATCCACGACAACATGACTATGGGTTTTGACAAAATTTTTTGGAAACCGGTCTTTGTGTGCAATTTTTCTGTTTTGGCGTTTTTTTTGTTGCCATTTTTCCTTATAATTATGATCGGGAAAAAAATCCGTTTAGTTTAACGTTATAAATATAATCATCAAATTCAAAAATTATTTGTACCATACTACTACTATGTTACTACACTATTAACGTATAAAACAATCTTAAAATATAACACCATCTAAACCCTTTTGATTACTTAGTGATTGTTCTTCATCATTTCTTTTCTAAAATTCACACAAGATCAATATAATAATTAATTTAAATTTCATTCAATAGAACATAGGGCAACAACAAAACTTTAGGTGCAAAATCTTTGTGCTAAGAAAAAAGAGCTAAACAAATAAACAAGAACAGACCTAAAGACACAGAAAGGAACTCATTGAAGACAAAAGGCAAAGAGACAAATCAATGCATCATTTGGCAATTCGCAATAGTCAATCAGAAGGGTAAAGCCCATAATTTTATGATATAACTATTACCCTACCAGTTCATTTTTATAAGATACAATTGTAAAATATGTCATGTTTCTATGTAGGGTTAATACAATTTTTTGTCCTTTTAGTTTACTTTAATTTTGGTTTTAATTTCTCAAATTTCAAATTATAGGTTTTGATCTTTTAAGTTTCTTTCCATTTAAAATATTAGTTCTCATAATTTAATAAAAACTTGGGACTATTTTATCCTTTGAGAACCAAAATTCATAGCTTGAAATTTAAGGGACTAAAACTAAAATTCATATAAACTTAAGGGACCAATGATTATATTAACCCTTCTTTTTATAAGATACATTTAGATATTATACTCTTTTGGTCCTAAATATAAAACATATTTTCTAGTGTAATTTATACTACAAAATGGGTCCTATATTTAGGATTGGAGGAGTATTAGATTTTGTGTTTTGATTTCCCATTTACCCCCTAATTCCCACATGTTCTCACTCCATCACATAAAAGGGAATATTTTTTGCAAAAAGGTTGCATTTTTTTAACATATTTATTATTTTCAACAAATTTTAACTAACATTTCAAACAACATAATTTAGTTAATTATCTCTTATAGTAAAAGAGAACGGAGGGAGTAAAATATAACCATGGTAAGCAAAATTAAATAAACAATCACTACTTCACAAAAGGCTCTTGGACTTGGGAGCTTTATTTATTACATCCAAACTTCATATACATGACAATACATATATTTCTTTCATCCTCTTACTATATGCTATAAGGATGAATCACTTGCCCCCTCAATTATTCCACTTAATATAACTTTAACAACCCAAACATTAAACAACTCGATTCACAAACTGTAACTGTGTAATGACAATTATGCCCTCTGAAACTGAACAGGAAGAGCATTACCATCCAGAGCTGCCAGAAGCATCCCATTCAGAACCATAGTACCAACAAAGCTACAATCTAAGTTACAATATGGACACACATCCGTAGGACACCATTGAATGTAATAGGTTCCTCGGAACTGTGTCCCCACAATCTGAAAATAGTACGTATAATTGCCACTACCATAGCCACTACCAGCCATGATAAGCCTTCTTCCACTTATCGGGTCCGTCTGGCCCACCATCCATCTTGCTGATTGACCACATACTGTGCTGATGCTAAACGTCAACGTGGAGTCTGTATTTTCTGTCACATAGCTGGTTCCGGTGTATGGCTGGATGGTCACCGGCAAGCCTAGCCCTTGGTAGTTGGATTGCTGGCCGACGTTGAGAGGGCAGGTGTTGTTGAAGTTGATGACAGTGAAGCCGCCGCCGCCGGAGTTTGATCCCGCAGGCACAATGTAGTACCTAACTCCACTTTGAATAGGATTGCCGTACCTATCGACCACCTCGCCGGTGGTGTTTTGTATTTCGGATAGGGCTAACGTGGCCATCATCATGAGAAGGCATGCAAGGCAAAGGACTGAACTTGAAGACAATTTCATATTGATGATTCTTTGTGATTATCGATGATTTTGGTATGTGAGATTGTGTGTTTAGCAGAGAACGGATGAGGTATTTATAGGGACATGGATAGGGTTTGCTTGTGATGAATCGTATGTAAACGTAACATCACACCTTAATTTGAGTTTAAATAATGCTCAACCGAAGTTTTAATTTTTCTTTATGGAAAACTCAAATCTTTTTGACAAATTTAGGGTTTTTTTAAAGATTAATCTTGGCATGTTAACTTATGGTTCAGAACTTTTTAGATGTTATGGAGCTATTTATTGAGTGGTTTTTACTTTTTAGCACTCCCTCTTCTGATTCTATATATAAGAAAACTTTTTTTTTCTAAAGCTATGGCTTCTGTCTATTTAATTTATAAGTGATACTGATTAATAGTTTGTCTGAAATTTACATAATTTTGT